ATGTGTTTCTATTCTGTACTGTAGTATTCCTAACTTTTACTTTTTGTCGCACAGGTTACAGATACCTGCGTTTGGATGGAACCACAAAGTCTGAGGATCGTGGACAGCTGTTGGAACTCTTTAACCAAAAGGACTCCCCTTACTTTGTGTTCCTTCTCAGTACTAGAGCTGGAGGATTGGGTCTCAATCTCCAGGCTGCAGACACTGTCATTATTTATGATTCAGATTGGAACCCCCATCAGGTACATTTCAAGTAACACTGTATGTCTGAAATTGCAGACTAATTTTGGTTCTAGTTCATTTAATTTCCTAGTGTTAAAAATGATCCACTGTTTTTAACATTTATGAAAATGAGAAAGTAGAAAGCCTTCCTTGCTTAATTAGGATCTTCAAGCCCAGGACAGAGCCCACAGAATTGGTCAAAAGAATGAGGTCCGGGTGCTGCGTCTGATGACCGTGAACTCTGTGGAGGAGAAGATCTTGGCTGCTGCCCGCTACAAACTGAACGTAGACGAGAAGGTGATCCAGGCGGGTATGTTTGACCAGAAGTCCAGGGGATACGAGCGACAGCAGTTGTTACAGTCCATTCTGGAGCAGGAAAATGAGGAAGTGGAGGTCAGTGGAGGTGTTTCAGATAGAATGAGAAAGATGGATGAAAGTGAGAGTGTTAAAATCCATCTGATAATTTTCAATCTAGTACACATAGTTGAAGGCTATGAACAGAAAATATTCATCACTAAAGATTGTATACTCATTCATCTGGTGTGGTCATTTAAAAATCAAATATAGTTTACACGTATACTCATTCTCTCACTGCATTTTAGGAAGAGGATGAGGTTCCTGATGATGAGACTATCAATCAGATGTTGGCAAGAACCGAGGAAGAATTTGATGTCTACCAGGTAATAGCAAGACAACACTGTGTCCTTAATATGTTTGACGCCACTAGTACTCGCTTGTCTTCATTTATATCTTTTTCTCTGTTTTAGAAAATGGACATTGAGAGAAGAAGAGAGGAGGCCAGAAATCCGAATAGGAAGCCCAGACTGATGGAGGAAGATGAACTACCAACTTGGATTCTTAAGGATGAAAAAGAGGTGCTTATTTTAATGTTGAGACATTAGAAAAAAATATTCAACAATAGTCTTTGTCTAAAGTTAAAAAGTATTTGTTTCCATGGTTTAGTAAAATAATTTCCCTTGTTTTAGGTGGAGAGGTTGACCTATGAAGAAGAGGAAGATAAGTTATTTGGAAGAGGATCAAGACAGAGAAAGGAAGTGGATTATTCTGACTCTCTCACAGAAAAACAGTGGATCAAGGTAATAATTATCATTTGTTTTTTTATGCAGCTGTCATTCAGGTAGAAATTTGGTAATTAATTTGATCTGAAGTTGTTTGAATGTGTTACATACTAGTAGTTAACACTGTGTTGACATTTTTCAGGCCATTGAAGAAGGTAATTTGGATGAGGTAGAACAGGTGAAGCAAAAGGTCAAGAAACCTAGAAAGAGGAAGGCTGACAAGGAAGAGGAAGTTAAACCAAAGAAGAGGCGAGGCCGTCCTCCAGTGGAGAAGTTACCCCCCAACCCACGCAAACTGACTTCTATAATGAAGAAAATTCTGGATGTCGTCTTGAACTACAAAGATAGGTTGGTTTGAGCTCTTTATTAAAGATATCTTTTTTTCACAATTGACTTGTACATTGTCACCTTAGTAAGAATTTGTTAGTAAAACTGTACAGCTCAAGGTTTTGATACGGTTAAAAGTTTACAATTAACGATAATTTGTCTATTTTCAGGGATGACAGAGTTCTGAGTGAAGCCTTCTTCCAGTTGCCATCAAAGAAAGACTTACCAGAGTATTATGAGATCATAGCAAAGCCTGTTGATTTCAAGAAAATCAAAGTGAGCTGGCATTTCATGTTCTTTCTCACCTGTCTGATAACGTTGGAGATTTATAAATGTTGTTTTCTTTCAAACTGGACTTAAATTTTTCAGGGTTTCTGTAAATATGTTATTTCTGTTCCAGCAAAGAATCCGGGATCACAGATACCGAAGTGTGGACGATCTAGAGGCTGATGTCATGCTACTGTGTGAGAATGCACAGTCTTATAACATTGAAGGATCCCTGGTAAGTAAATGCAGTCAATCTTACTTGAGCAGTTCAAATGATACAACATAAATTCTATATCAAAATTACTTCTAGATTAATCCCTTAAAACATGAAATATTTCCTTTCTGTCTTCAGATTTATGAGGACTCCATAGTTCTAAAGTCGGTGTTTACGAGTGCTAGGGAAAGATTGGAGAAGGAAGGGGTGACCTACTCAGATGATAACAGCAGCAGTAATGAGGAAGAAGAGGGGGAGGAGGAGGAAGGAAAAGAAGAGGAGGAAGAAGAAGAGGAGGATGAGGAAGGTAGGACAGGTGCCTCATTGTTCGGTGTTAGAAATACTGTAAACGTATTATATTTGGCGGTGTATTCTTTTTAGCGCCTTTGGCGTAAAGAAGCTTCCGCTAATTCAAGTACAACGCTAAATGTCTTGCACATTTAATCATAAATAAGTACATTAAAGAATGCGCTAAATCAAATCTCCACTAACTTGTTCAAAAATCAATTTCCGCCAAATATCGTACACGCCAAATATAATACATTTACAGTATACTGGACATGAGCCACATTGTGGCTGTTAAACTACATAGAAAATCTACAGAGTTGCTTAATGTCAAATAAGATTATTTGTGTTAATACCTGTATTAATTGAAGGAAAAATTGTTTTCCAGGACATTCCTCTAGCAAGAAACACAAGAGAGATAGGAGCAAAAAGGTATTTGTTCAAGTTCAAATGCATTTAATTTCCATCCATTATTTTAATTAGAGGCTGATTTGAATTTTTGTCGGCTGTCATGGGAATTCTCAGTGATGGCTAATTATTGGGAAGAATTTTCAATGAACAAATTTTACCTGTATTTGCAGAAGAAGGAAAAGGCAGAAAGTTCTAAAAAGAGAAAGTCAAGGGCTAAGGCCAAGCCTGTGATCAGTGATGAAGATGATGAAACGGATGAGGTTAGATATGTCTGACTGTCCATATAAATCAGTAGCTCTTAAGAACAATCATTAGAACTTACCATAACAAAAATACATATAAAAAAATCTCTTTATGGTAATTCCAAGAAATATACCTTCTAACTACTGAATCTTAAAATTGTACGCCTTCCAAAGAAGTACATGTATTTAAAAAACATAACTTAAAAAAATCTTTTTTCTCAAAGTAAATGCACATGTACCTTGAATGGTATTTTTAAGAATTTTCGTGCAGAAATGTGAAAATAGTTGTGTTGTTTTTTTTTTTTTGTTGATAAAGTTGTGAATATTTGTAAAATTAACTTTCATGTTCCTTTGTAGGACTTTGAATGAGTGAAGGTGAATGACCCATCATCAGCAAGAAGATAGTGAACACCCAGCTTCTGAATTGTTATGGATTCATTTGGTATATAGTGCAGACAGGCAGAACTTTGTTTTCAAAAAAAAAATATTGTACAGTTGTGTTCAGTGTAATCAAATGCCATTAATGTAGTGATAGTTGTTATTGATTCAGTGCAATGATTCTGTAAATAAAGTGTAGTGTATACAAATGGCTTCTTCAGTGCTTTTTTTAACACATTTTCATAAACTTCAATGGATAACTCAAGTAAACTCCTTCTATCTGTTCAAGTTCTTTTTCCTTATGAGACATCTAGCAGGCAAAGTGGTCAGTTGATGACAATAATGTTTGTGGTATTTAAGAGTGATGCAAAGAAAATTTGTATCAGATGGAAACGGTTGAATAATTTGATTTTTCGTCCTTTAAAGCAGAGGAGAAAGACCAAGGTCACAAAATGGTCAATAATCTTAAAGGATGTAGCATTAATTTAATGCAATAAAATGAAATCCTAATACTAAAATTACAAATTTTTTTTTGGGGGGGGGGGGGGGGGGGGGAATTTTGTTTTCGAGATATGAAGAGACCCACAAAGTCATCCACTACGAAATGTAAAATATTACGTAACTACTCAATAATTCTTCATCCATGAGATCAAATCCCTAAAACCAAGAAAAGCAATGTGATTTTACAAAGTATGCCTGTTAATATAACAGGCATACTTTCTTTGAGTTTTGACAGTGTTATACATGTACTGTAAAATCAACAATGTAAGCAAACCCTGCACTTTACAAGAAATCTTTTAACATACATGTACATAACATCAATGCTTACATCATTGTGGGTTTAGTAGGTGTAGGGCAAAATTGATGTTTGATGGGTAGTTCAAAATTGTTTAGATGAAGTTCAAGGTAAGGCCATTCCAAGTATTTTCTTTGTTAAGGATCCACTCTTAATTAGCCAATCTGTCTTTCCATCTGGGAAAAATGCAAATCAAAAGGGGAAATTTTTGAAATGCTCGCTTATGGAAATTTGCAACCAAGTCCAAGGGGCATAACTCTGTCGAAAATTGCTCAGTGGTACCTAAAACAGAACCTGACCTAGATATTCTTGTGATAAATCTGTGCATCTAATTTCATTTCAGTATGTGGAACCCTTGTGAAGAAAATTAAGGGAAACTTGTTGTACCAACAGACAGACTGACCAACAAACAGCAGTATTAAAAGCAATATGACCTCCCTTCTTAGAAGGGGGACATAAAAAAACTTATCCCTAACTCTGATGGTCATGCAAGTGTCAACCGTTACTTTCCTTTGCAGGTGACATGAACTGCAAATTCTAAACTGAATATACATCTATCAATGACATTGAACTATAACTGGGTATTGTTCTCCATAAAAAGGATTTTTCAATTACATCTGCTTGGTTGAAATTGGCCCAAAGAAGTAAGGTGGTAAGAGCGAGGCATGGCTGCTGCTACAAAAGTGAGTTTATTTCTTGCAAAGACATATCCCAGAGTTATATGCAACTGCACAAGCTTCATTACCAGTACACAAGCAATACAAAAAGAAAAGTTTCAACAAAATTTCAATATTTATTCAAATATCCATTTCATTTAAGTTCATATTAGGGAGTCATGTCAAATGGTCTATTATGAAGAGTTTACATCAGGTAATGTTATATATTGGTAATTTTACAGTTTGTAACTTTGAAGTCATACAATTTATTTCATTACAGTGAAACTTTCACCTTTTCACAATACAGTAATAAGAAAGGTCCTGGTCTTTGTCCAATGACTGAATAAAAAAATCTCTCATTTTATACATTACTCTCCCTTGGAAATTTAAGCTTGATATATAAATAGTGTCCTGCAATATTGCATAGATCACTCCTGTACAATATCAACCATTTTTATGTCATCCTTTATCAAGAATCGTCCTGAAAACCATCAGGTCGTATCGTAACGAACACCTCGTCTGTAGGGTCAGTCTCGTAAGATGGCTGACCACGTCGCGTCTCCAGGGATTTTTTGGCCTGGATTCTGGACATGTATTTCTGGGCACCCTTCTTCCTCATCAAATGTCTCAGCTAAAATAAGATAGTCATACATGTATTAATCATTAAACTTAAATGTAACACAAATCTTAAAAGAAAGTAAAAAAAATGTAAGAACTCCCTTTACCATCAATCGGATTCTAACATTTACTAGAAATGAAACAATATAATTTTATCTTTGGCCTTTTTATACCACTCTGTGATCTATAATTAATCCATTGACCATGGGACTATAAATTAAATTCTGTTCCATGTTAAGAGCAATAACAAAGTTATGAGCTGGTTCACTTACATCATTTGGAGATACATAATGGGGATTCTGGTATAAAGTAGCTCCTCCAAAGCTGCCATCAAATATTCTGATAGGATTCAAAACAAACCTGGGTCCTAAAAAAAATCTCCAGATATTACAATTTACAAGCACTAGGAAAAAAGTCTTTTTGACCATCTTCATAAATAGCAAACACTGTAGCAAACCATTGTTTAGGAGAACAGTTTACCATTTAAAATGGTAAATACATTACAAATGGTCACATGTACAAATAATGTACAGTTGAACCTCATTATCTTGGACTTCATGGGTCTAAAGAAAAAACTTCAAGAAATAAATATATTTAAAATTTAAGACGTAAGAGAATAAATGGTTGGGACTTCCATATCATTTCAACATATCCATGGTGTTTGAGATATATACTGAAGTTAGAGAAACCAATTTTCAAATGTAGTTATGAGTTCAAGGCTTTCTCTCATATTAAAAACCATTGAAACTAACCAATCTCTGCTAAGGAGCCATCCTCCTCCAGAATCTGGTAATTTCTGAACCAGATTCGGTTGTCAGCAATGGAAAATGTGTACACATGATCAAAAAATGGCTGGCTCTTAGGATGATGGTTTGGCGTACTGAATATCTGCAATAAAATACATTACCAGGTTCACTCATATACTGGTTTCTACCAGCATGTTCACATTTAGATACAAGTTATATTTTAAACAAGATAGAAAATTTGAGATATGATCTTTTGACTGACATACAAACCTGTATTAAAAGTTCTTTTAAGAGGGTCCAGTGTGGCTCTTTATCAAACTCCTGAAAGAAATACATTTTTTCCAATCAGTGCCATATTGATATTCAGGAATATCGTAATAATGTTATTAGCAACGTTCAAAAATAATTTATCATTTTTTTTAATTTTTACCTGGTCAAATGAGAGTAAAGGCCTGGAGCCCTTCAGACAATTCCCAGTCATCTTCAACTCGGACATTGTGTGTACTGTCAAAATGAAAATATTTTAATTTAAAAAATTCTCCTTTATGAGCAGTTTGACTTTTGAAAAACCTTTAGATTTGTCATATACATAAATAAAATGTATCTTCTTACAATTTTCTATCAGGAATTTGGCAGAAGGTCCTCTTGGTACATTTGACAACCTGCAAAAATAAAAAGATCTTAAAGAGTCTCTCAATTGTATATAATTAACCCAATAATCCATTGCGTATCACTGGTGATATTACATAGAACAATTATCATGTGGCACTATAAACCCTTACTACCACATGAAATACTTACCATCAGTAATTACTTGAAGAATCATTATTGTCAATCATTAACATAACCCTTTGTACCAGTCATTGGTACTTAGTACCACATGGAATCATTACCACAAAATGCACTTACAAACACCATTACCACACAGAATCATTACCACATGGAATCTTTACCACATAACACAATTACTGAAACCCATTTCCACAAAGAATTAATATCACATAACACAATTACAAACACCCGTTTACACAAAGAATCATTGCCACATGGAATTATTACCACAAAGAAACATTACCACAAAGAATCATTACCACATGTAAAGATCCTGTTTCTTCTTTGCTTCCAGGTAAACACATTTTGAACAATTTCTCATCTCACACATCTGTAAACAAAAGTATGCCATAAGAAAACTTAAGTAGAGCTGATAGATACATATCTTGAAAACAAAATAACAGACATTTTTTTTAAAGTTGAAAAAATCTTTTTAAAGCAAATGTGAATATCAACAATCTAGAAACTGACCTCATTGATGACAAACAGTTGATCTTTTCTGTCCATTTTTGATTCTACAAATAAGAAAGAGGCTTAACAGATAATAAAGTTCATTAAGGATAAGTGAATCAGTTAATTAATTGATTCACTTGATTGCTCTTCCTTATATAAACTATTTACCAATCAATACATCATGTTCCTAAAGACAATTGTGTGCAAAATAAAGTGATATACTTTGTTCAATCCTCGTCAACTTTTTTTTATGTACGCTTTTATACAATGTATGCTTAATACAAGGTGTGTAGAACAAGAGATCAAGAGAAAGGTTGTATTTACACAATATGAAGATATTGTTTCATAAATGTGAAATAATTCAGATTTGATGGATTGGGAGGATTTATCAAATCTTGGCTCCATTTTATGACTTTATCATAGCCAGAATTCAAAATGTAATCACACTACAAATCAAAATAGGTATTCACTTTCACTTTGATTTTCTTTCATCAGAAACCTTGTCAAATAAATGGATACACTACAACCATAAAAGCAATGCATGCAGATAATCCCTCCTAATTCTTCACGAATTCAAAAGCAATTCTCTTAAGATTATTTTAATCACAAGTAAATGTAATGGCAATTTTTAAAACTAACCAGCTTTTGAATGAGGCATAAGGGTCCGTAAATCATTCATCAAGTGACGGCCCCTGTATGAGATCCCTCGAGATGAAAATACAAGCACTCTTTCTTTGTTTGTCCATTTTGTCTGTTAATTAAACCAACATATTATATTCTTACTTTCAATAATTTTCACATATGGAACTGAAAATATAGTTTCAGAACAGACTCAATGTGATTTTATTATATAGAATTGGTGTTACAATAAGTTATTTACAATTCAAAATATAAATAACAAGCGCCAATGTGGTTTACACACTGTATATAACTTCATTCCGAATTTACTCAAATATATGGTGAGACAAGGGAATGATTATCGTAATTTCAATGCCTCAAACCTGAGTTTTGGGAGTTTCTTCAGAGGATATCGTAGATTTTAACTCTATATCTTCTCTGACTTTCTTTTTCATCTTTCCTGTGTGATTTTGTTCGAGTTTTCTTTTCGTCATCGCGTGGAAATGTTGTTGAACCTGCGTTTCTGCGGAGCTGTTGTGTGGGGTGCTAGTTAATGCGTTCTTGGGAATTTAAAATTTTATACAGTTTTTCTACTGTTTAGTCATTAATTTTTATTTCATAAGCAATTGACATTTGAAAAAAAACATTAACAACAGACTCCATGCCCTTTGTCTATGAAAGAGGTGCTTTTTTGTTTCTTTTTTTTTTGGGGGGGGGGGTAAGCTTTTGAACCAACTTTTTACAATATTTCTCAATATATCAAATTTCTTGCACATCATTGATTATCATGCGCATTTTTATTTATTGTGTTCCCATGTGATTTTTCCCAAATCGTAACCTCTAGGGGTACCTGACAGGCCACAATATATCTAGGCTCCGTTTTGAAATATTTTTTTTAATTAATAATTTTTTTTTTAGATTTTTTGAATGCATGGATATGAGGCGTCGTTATAATACTTTTGAGGTATTTTCTGATATCAAAAAAGAAATTGTTGACATCAATAATTCGAATTCTTGAAAATATAGGGCGCCGTTTTAATATTTAAACTTTAAAGTATTTTCTGATACATGTATAAAAAAAATTGATATAAAAAAATCATTTTCCGATATAAAAAAAAAAAAATTAAAAAAATAAAAAAAAATCGATTTTTTTTTTATATCACAAAATAAACAAGATTCAGAAAATAATTTTCAGATATGATTTTTTTATATAATATCAAATAATATTTTTTGATATCAAGAATTTTAATTAATTATATCAAGAATTTCTTTTTTTTTTATTTCAGAAAATACCGAAAAGAAAATATAAAAACGGCACCTCATAGAAAAAATATTTCTTGATATCAAAACAAAACAAAAAAAATAGACTTTTTGATATCAAAAAATCATTTTTCTGATATCAAAATTTGAACTGATTCTCTCTATCACAAAATGATTTTCTAATGTCAAAAATTCGAATGTTTGATATCATAAAATCTGGCTTTTTTCCTGATATAAAAAATCGATTTTTAAATACCGTATAACGGTTATTTTCCGCGGTTGGAATTTTTTTTTGCGATTTAACCCCTAAAAGGTATAGCAAGTTAATTTTTGCGTTTTCAGTTTCTGCGGTTGCACTATACCGCAAAAGATTATTTACGAGGTACATTATAGGATCATCTAAGATTTATTAGAACACTGCCATGATTACGTTTTTTAAATTCATTCAGGCACATGAATGAAAGGTGCATGAGAACAGGCATTTACGCTATTAAACTTGATTAAGCTACTAAAGCTTTTAGTTACTCTTAATAAATATATAGATAATGATAATTAATCCCTTTCATTCATTCATTCATTCATTTATTCTCTCAAAAAACCATATACATGGTACAAGAGGTACATATATACATATTTACAATAATTATGGACGAGCAGAAATTACAGGAGGACAGACAGAGTCAAAAATTTTTGTAATAAATATACACAATTTTCGTAAAAATGCTGGATCTGTACTTGTCATCAAATTGCAGAATTTTATTATATTTGGATGTACATGGTATCCCTCCAAGCCATAATCTAAAATACACTTGAAATTGCCATCAAAATTAAATCGATATTTTTATTTTAAGCTAAATAAACAGTTGCATAATCATCCAAGCTTAAACTCCCTCCCATTCCCTCCTCACGACATAAAATATTCTGGTTTTAACATATTTTTTTCTCCTTTTCTATTTGTATTGTTTTATTCTGAGACTTCACTGCTGGGATCAAATAGAAATTCTCACAATGCTATGGGTCCTGAGTGGGGGGGGGGGGGGGTCACTATCTAAAATCTGAGACGGCTTCCCTCACATCCTGAAAATTCGAAAATGAATGATTCTTAATTTTCGGACTGTGTTAATTAAGTTTTCTTTTAAAACAGCAAAATTTATTGCTTTGAAAAAAAATTAAAAAATAAGGACACCGAAGCACGAATCACTCAACGTAAGAATTAACATTATTTGTTATTATTTTTAGAAACACATTTTCGCGAAGATTGTCTCACTTATTTTGAGATGTCTTCAGAAGCAGGTGGAAAAGATAAAGATTCTGAAGTGAATGGGACACCAGTAAATCCAGCCGGTCTTAGGAAACCCCACCAATCTACCCAAGAGAAACTTCGAAATGAACTATGTATGAATCAAATCTCGAATTTACTCTGTTATCTGCACATGTTGTGTAAATTAATTTACGGATAACCACGTCTTTCGTATAGCTAGATTTTGTATTTAATCATATTGATTAACATTATTGATGCAAAAACTGTAAATTCATAATTTTGGGATATAATAACAAGATTTGTAACTTGCCATCTGGTAGCATCTATAACTGAAATGAAAACAAGAAAGCATTGAATTATGGTTAAATTGCAAATTTTGCAATGTTCTCCTGTTATTTTTTTGTTAACTCTAAATTCGGACCTTAATTTTTTTAAAACGTAAACAACAAATTGTACACGTCATGGAACTTATTTTCAAAGTGTAAATAAACTGCTGCTTTACATGGTATTGAGGTCTGACTCTGTGTTTGGTGTACATGTACTTAACTTCCTTTGCAAGGAATTTGAGTTTATGTTGTTTCAACTAGAGAATTATAGCTGCAAAACTGGGGCCATAAAAAAATTGCACACAGTCTGATTCAGTAATCAGTATCCTATAACAAAGAGTGAAAGACTTGAGTTTAGTTGAAATTGGTTTGAAACGATGTAGTTTTGTAAAATGAGAACTCGTTATGGGTGCATTTTCAATTGAAAGCATAATATAATCATGTATATTTTATATGTCACTCTCTTATTGTTTTCAGATTCACCAAAAAAGCCCCAAAGCAATCTCTCAGTTAATGCGCCAGAATTTGTACCTAGGAAGGTTTGTATATTAGATGTAATTTTTATTTTGTTTTTAAGTAGAAAGATGCATAATTACCATATTTAAAAAGTAAAATTGACACATTTTGGGACAAAAGTAAAGAAGTTTACAATCAACTGATGCATCATAATGACAACCATTGCCATCATATTTTAATTTTTGTTAAAGTAGTACTTGACTTCCAATGTTGAAAAAAACACCATGTATAAAAGTTTTATCTTTAGCAGTACCCGAGTGATTGCAATGCAACACACAGAATATTTTGATGTCTGTGTAAAATTAAAGAAAATGTTTTGTCTAATAAATGTCATTAGTCAAATTTTCAGTAATATTAAAATATTGATGCAGGATTATCTTTTGGCTTCAACTTTGTACTAAATCAGAATAAGGTTAGGTGAGAGAATAGATAAGTAATTGGTTAATTGCAGAAAAAAGATAGTTTGCTGGGGTATGGGCTTTTTGTTTGCCCTATTGCTGTATTAATGTTATCTTATTGTAATCTGTGTGTCTTTTTCTCAAGACTGATTCACCATTGCTAGAGTTATAGACAGGGAAATGAGCAAAATTATGAGGATACATCACAGCTTATTCTTTGAGGTTGGCACCACTTCTGTCAGCATGACATACACATTGGAATATAACTCTTTATCAATATTACATCTTCAACATAAGAGACGGAAAGGGTCACTGAAATGTTTATGAAAATATACAACATAGTGAAACAATATCGAAAGTGCTCATGGTCATTTCAGGTTCAATTATTTTTAAATTTTAACAAAAATGTGGTAGTCAAACAAGCTGGTGTGGGATAGTCCATATGAGTATTCATACATAGAGTGTTAATTTAACTAAATTGCTTACATTTATAGGCAAATAGAATGACATGTGTTCTATAAACTTGAACCATTTGTTGAGAATGGGTGATTTTCATGTTCATATTTTAAATAAGACTGTCATCTTACATGAGTACATGTAGAAGTACAAAGTAGAACTCATTGTCTTGTTACAAGGAGTTCATGAATTACTGATTTATTGTGGATACTATGATTTGTATAAACAAAACATGATGACAAAAGATGTGAACATTTTACAGGGAGTGTTTTATTTAATTTAAGTGCATTGTAATGATTTAGAATGCAACCTCATCTATTATACCATTGATTGATTTAGTCTGAGTACTAAGCACATTGGACAGCAGAAGATTTCAAGTGTACAAGGAAGCTTCATTAGCTATGCTTAAGAAAAATTGTTTTTAATGCTTTACTTCCCATAATTTAGGAAAAAGACAGTCAAAACTACAATCTCTTTTTTAATTTAAATTGTCACACTTTATTTATTTATCAATATAATTTCCAGTATTTGTACATAATACAACTTTTGGGAAAGCTTTAGTTCTTCTGTTCATACCTTTAAAAAAAAAATGAGAAAAATACAGTGAATATGGACAGATAATTTGCATATCACTTAGAATTAGTTTTAAAGAAAATTATCCAAATCTATCATCACAATTCTTTGGGATACAGTATGCATTAGGACTTTAATTCTTTGGTTACTTGCTTTTGCAGACTACGTTTTCTGTAACAGCAGCCGAATTTGTTCCCAGACAGCAGCCCTACCCTCAGTATTCAAAGGTATAACACATGTAATTTGTATGTGTCTGTCACTTGTATAGGAGGCTAGTCCAGTTGTTCTGTCCTTTCATTTGTTTAGATCTGTATTTTGTCCTGTCCAGTCATCTCTCCTATTGATTGCATGATCTAATGCTATGTAAACTCTTATATTTCTTCATAATATACCTTTCCTATGAATTTTAATCATGGAATTGGTAGTAAGAGGCATGTTTTGATGTTTTCTTATAGATTTAGCATTAGTATTGACAATATATTTTACTTATATTCTTCTGAACTCTCTTTGGATGAAAGATTGAAAGTGGACAAGCAATGTTCATCTACAACCCCTGTCACACTAGAGCTGTATTCCTACAGAGTTGGCAAGGTGTTTTTAAAATTTCTGGGATTGCCATGGAATGGTGATCAAGAAAACTTTCAAAAGGTGATGATGTCATAGCATCTTGACAGTAACCAAGGCATTTCTACGGACTCCCATCATCCCATGGCATGCTTCTCTTCTATAGAGTTCATACTGACAACTGACTGCTCTTCTGCAGAGTGCTCATGATGTGCTAGCTAGGAGTTGTTAGGTTATGTTCATGGTTTACACAAGGCATGGACTGCATGCAAGATGTTCGAAGAAATGATATCTTTTAAAATGGACATTAAGGAGTCTCTGTGCAAGCACTGTCAAATGTATCAGAAAGTCCATACTGTAGTCAGGTGAGTCGTTTACCAGTGGAGCTCGTGTGGTGCTGTAGGAAACTCTGCTGTGCACAGCTCAGCTTTCTGCAAGGATGCACCTCGGTATGACAGGGAAAAAAAAAAAATTTAAGTTGTTAGATCACAAGATTTTGTTCAGTACAGTTTATACACAAAACAAAACAAGGTTTATGAGGTTCAGTTGGTTATATATCAATAATCCATAAAAAACACTTGAGCACGTAGAAAAAAAAAGTATACAATAATGTAAATCTCAAAACTCATACTTGTTTGGCGCTCTGGGGGCTACTCATTACTTTCTCTACCTTTCCTTCCTACTCTTAACTGCGATCAGTAATTAAAGCCATTCCAACCTGATCCGGAAAACACACTAGCCATAACTCTGCCTAGGGCTGATCCCTAAAGGCAAGCACAAATTTTAACTCATGGCTGATCCCAGGAGTGCACAATGCCTGTGGCTGATCCCAGCAGGCTACGAACAAGACAAACCTCTGGGTTGATCCCAAGAGGATGTTCAACAAGAAACATTGCCTAGAGCTGATCCCTAGAGGCAAGCACAAATCGCCACTCCGGGCTGATCCCAGGAGTGATAATGCCTGGGGCTGATCCCAGCAGGCCACGAAACTTGAGGGACCTCTGGGCTGATCCTGAGAGGATGTAAACAAGATACATAGCCTAGGGCTGATCCCTAAAGGCCAGAAGTAGAACCCACACTCCGGGCTGATCCCAAGAGTGCATCATGCCTGGGGCTGATCCCAGCAGGCCACATAACCAGACAAAATACTTCAACACTATACTCTAACAATATACCTGGCCACACTAATCCTCTCTCATTGATAGGGTTTGAGGGTATGACAGTTTGATCTTCACTTGTAATTCTGAGCAATGTGTGTGTAAAGTTGGACTTGCATGTGTCATCTAAGTTCAAGAATGATATGCACAGTACTTATACACAATACATGTACTCTCATTGTATGTATATTTATTAACCCCTCTCATTTTACTTACACATGAATGTACTTCCTCACCCCTCCTTTTATTGATGTATTATATACTCTGTAATACCTTTATGTAAATGCTGGATTGTCTTTTCATAGTGAAATTGATATTTTTTTCATATTGATTGGCATGGGTATCCTTTATTTACCAGTTGAAATATATCTCATTAAATGTAGAAGATAAAAATTGCTCTAAGACTTGATCTTTTTTTTTCTCTCTTCCATGGTATATTTTCTCAAAGTTTGAGGTCATTTTGGTGGTGGAGTTCAAATGAAACTTAAATTCATGAATTGAATATTTCTTTATGAATAGTGACTAACCCCTCTTCCTTTTCCTTGATCTGATGGGTTTCTTCTGCATGTTTATGCCTTTACTATTACTAAAATGATTGGTTTTGTGGACTATATAATCTTAAATTTGAAATTTAAAGCCCTTATTCATTGTAGAAATTAGGCTAGATTTAAAATGCAAATTTGGTTCATTTGATTTAAAATTATAACAGATATAAAAGTTTATACAGTAAGACTTGCCTAATCAATACACCACTGATTCCATAGAAACAACATTTCCGATTAGATGATATTTTAACAAATGAAATAACTGAAAAGGACTTTAAGTTAATATAATAGGAAGGATTTTGTCATACACAGTGTTCAGTTTAGACAAGTTTTACTATTATATAATTACAAAAAAAATCAACCTTATGAGACATTTTTATTGATAGAAGAAAGAAAATATGGAAATCACCTCAGTCTGTAAAATGTAAAGACAGTGGATAAAAGAAGGATTTTTTTCTAGATTTACCAGTAAATGTCTAATTTTGAATGAATGGTTGTGTTACAGAACCTATATGAAGACTTCCAGGATTTACAGATAGGGGAGTACTACACACCGAGCAGGGAGGAGGTCCTGAACAGTTTCCAGGAGACGCTGACCGCTCTCATCAGTCAGCCCGGGAACATGGAGGAACTGATGAGGGTGGTCATTGACCAGATGAAACAGCTGTCAGAGTCAGAACAGTCCATCCAGGATAGTGTTATAGAGATGCTGTTTGAACAGGTAATATAGTCCATCCAGGATAAAGTCATAGAAATGTTGTTTTAACAGGTAATATAGTCCATCTAGAACAGTGTCATAGAGATGCTGTTTGAACAGGTAATATAAATATAGAACATTTGAAATGTATGCAGGAATTAGCAGAGGGGGGTGGGGTGGGTGCAAGGGGTTGATTTTCTTTTTCTATAAAACTGATGTTTTGTTGTGTTCATTTTCTGAATCGGATATCATACTATTAGCAACATATATATGTACTCTGTGTCACATTTTAAAAGCAAAATTTGTTTCCCATTTCAAATTTTGAAAATGACAGCCTGATTTTCCAATACTACATGTATATAGGTAAAATACCTTTTATGGGTAACATAATCAGGAATGTTTGAAGTAATTTTCCCTACAGAAAGTGATAAAAGTTTTCATGGCTTTTTTAATAGGCCTCCTTATACATTGGTAAATTGTATGTATTTGGAATGATTTTTATGATTTTTCTGCTTACAGTGTGTAACAGAACCCAATTTTCGATACACTGGTGCAAGACTTTGTAAGCTGCTATGTAAAGAATTAAAGTCCCATCCCATATTTAAAAATTTTAGAGGTGCATTTCTTACAAGGTATGAGCCAAAGGCAGAGCTAATTTGGCCATTCTCTTGCGGTGTGCGTTAACTGTTTATTTTAGCTCTTTTTAATAAAATGAGATGAGCTCAGCTATACCCCAGGTGTTGGCATCACAGCCCTATCTTAAGTTTTAGAAGCAAGTTTATTCCCAAGTACTGTGAAATCATTAGATTTCATGTTGGCTCAATTTTCAAAAGTAGGTCAACTTAGGAATTTGTAGGTACATAGAAATATATAGGAAAAATCTGTGAATTGATACTGGGCCAGAAAAGCTGAAACTTATGTGCACATAAATCAGTAATTTCAAAATGGGGATATGCATAAATGAGTAATATTTCATTTTGTACATATAAATTGAGAATGGACACAATATTATGTCCACATGAACCAGTCCTGAAAATCCACTTAAATTGGTCTCAATAAATTCCACAGTAACTGAAAGCTTAAAACATATTTATCAAAAAGTAGGTCACTGTGACCAGACTTGCACATATTTTGAATGATGCATCCATCTTTGGGATAAACTTGCTTCAGGCTTAGAATCATTAAAATTTGTCAGTTTGCATCTTGGGTTTTCATATGACCTATTTTTGATTTTCTGAATGTGTGACTAGGCTTGAAGTTTAAGGAGCATATCCTGTGACCTATTTTTGACATTTTAAGTTACATGTACTATAATGTAAGCTCCAAAACTTTGGACCCAACATGCAGATGATAAGTCTAGGATGTACACTACAGATCCCGTATACTACATGTATTTGAATTACAGTGAATATGAACTTTTTATAAGATGGTGTACTTTTGTTTTCACAATCTAAATATTTTTTTCTCTTTTAAGGTGTAAAGCAGAATATTTTGCCTAGAAAGATGAAATGATAGCAAATCCCCAAATGGTGGACCGTCTTTTTTCTGTAGCGTTATGGTCAAAGACAACTATACAAAACCATATGTTTATAGGGGAGCTCTTTTGTCAACCTATATTTAGAGGTATTTAATACATTTGTTATTTGGGTTCTATTTTATAGTGATCTTGTGACATTTATGGCTATATTTAGGCTTTTTGATTTTTATGTTCTGACATGTCATGAACAGTAAAGAATTTCTTTGCAGGTTGAAAAGGAAGTTGGTTACATTTAAATATCTTCAGGGAAAATGACACTAGAGAAAATTTATCAGAAGAGCGATTCAAGGCCCTTGGGCCTCTTGTATATGTTTATTTTAGCTCTTTTTAATAAAATGAGATGAGCTCGGCTATACTCCAGGTGTTGGCATCAGAGCCCTACCTTAAGTTTTAGAAGCAAGTTTATTCCCAAGTACTGTGAAATCATTAGATTTCATGTTGGCTCAATTTTCAAGGAATTTGTAGGTACATCTTGTCTGTGAATTGATACCCTCCCATAAATCAGTAAGGATAATTTTATTTCATTTTGATATACTATTACAACATCCCACAGATTTCACTGTTAAATGTGCCACACAGCTGCTTCAAGGTAGGACAGTATTTTGAATTTATAGATACTGTGAAATTGTTAATGTATCTTATAATATTTTTACAGTTTTTTTTATAAGATGGTGTACTTTTGTTTTGACATCTAAATATTTTTTTCTCTTTTAAGGTGTAAAGCAAATATTTGAAGAAAGATGAAATGATAGCCCATGAACTTATAAATTCCACAAATGTTAAATTTTCTACAACTAGTCTAAGAGTACATGTATTATCCTTGCTAACTCAATTTTTCTCTTTAGGACAGTATTTTGAATTTATAGATACTGTGAAATTGTTAACTTTTTTTACCCCACAAAAATAAGTGATTTCCCTAACTCAATTTTTCTCTTTAAACTTTTTTTACCCCACAAAAATAAGTAAAAAGATTTAATATGCATTCTTTACTTTTAAATGAAGGATTGAAATTTTTTATAACTCAGCTAAAGAAAAGTAAACATCGAGGTATTTAGGTGAACACTGTGACCCATGGGCCTCTTGATTTTGTCTTTAAAGCTGACAGGGTCCACAATAGAAGATACAGCTTATTTAAATACTACATCAGAAGGTTCTTATGATGAAGTGTTTCTACAGATACGACAGTTAGATACCTATCCAGACCTAAATAGGTAACTATGTATATAAATAATTTTTGATTATTCAATTTGCTTAATTGTACTTCCTACAATACTGACATTATACATGTATAACTGTGTCCTCTTCTTTCAGAACTAGCAAGTGCTTAATAAAATCTGTGATAGATTTAAAAGATAATAATTGGGGGAGATCTAGATCATCAAATCCTGTAACACCTGAAGAATCTTATCAACCAGTCTATCAACAGGCAGCAGAATTCACACAGGTATTTAAAAATTCATGAAGTCCTAAGTTATTTTAAGGTTTCAGTTCAGCCAATGAAAATGGTTTAAGTAATGCCTGATGTACCCTCCTTAGTTGCCTGTAAATGAAATATATGGAGATAACGAACAGCATTCAAGCTCAAAAGTCTATCAAACAATATAAAATAGGAGTAGAGCAAACACGGACCTCCGAAACATCAGAGGTGGGATCAAAATATGACTCACCTGAGCCAAAGATTCAAATGAGCTTTTCTGATCAAAAGTCTGGTGTAGAACATTGTTGTCAGCATTGTCATAAACTTTCACATTTTCATATTGAATACAGAATATTGTCAGCATTGTCATAAACTTTCACATTTTCATATTGAATACAGAATATTGTCATATTCACCACAATACAGTAGTTTTAAAAAATCCTTTTACATTATGAATGTTATATATTTTATCCTTACATTTAATCCAAAATGCTATGGTATAAATTTTCTTATCTTTCCAGAATGAACCTGTATTTTACAATCAGCAAGGTCAGCCAATAACAGCTGAGGAGGCTGGCTATTACGACCAAGCGTACAACAGCTACCTACAGGAGGAGGAGGAATACGCACGCTGGGAGGCGGAAGGATTCGAGGAACAAAATGCCTGGGTGGAGGGCGGCGACTACCAGGCCTGGTCATCAGACCCTAACCAGCTGGAGTACGATAATGGATACTATCAAACGTAAGGGTCATTTGTCAGTAAATAGTAGCCATTTGATTTAAAAGAAAGAAAACATTTAAAGTTTTTCCATGAGAGAAAAACCACTTGTATATTTTTTCTTCTTATCTTTGAAAAAATGAACAAATTAATCTGAATGGTAAAATTACGAAAGTTTTAATTATCAGAAAAAATGAATAAACAAAGTGAATACTAAACACAACTTGCAAATAAACAAAAGATTTATACATTGAATTTTAAAAAAAAAATTTCATTCCATTGTTGTAAATGGACTAATAACTTCCTAAATAAGAGTTTCAACAGTAGTTATTGTTGACTTTTCTCATATCTTTTTAGGGGGCCATACAGTGAAAACTACATGGATGAGGAGATAGAAGCCGCCTATGAAGAGTTCCTCCGACAACAACCTCCCCCGCCCCAATAGCAGAGCCTGTCGACCAATCAAATGACGTCCTTTTGTACATGTTGTCAATTTTCATTTGGACAGCCAATAAGAAAGTGCTCGTTTACTTTTTATTTTAAAAAGTCCAGAATTATGTTACAGTTCACACTGTGTTCAGTTGTTCCCTAACTGTTAATGTAAAAGTTGCCTACAGATGGTGTACAGATGTAAATAATACAATGTCCAGTTATATAAATTACTCTGAATTTAAAAGCAGTATAAAAAAAAAGTAAATAAATGTGCCTTAAAAAATTCTAAAAAATGAGGCTTTATACCAAAATGATTGTAGAATGTCTTAAGGTAGTACATGTATTAGTAACAGCATTTAACTGTTTTTTTAATGATGAAAAACCATACCTAACAAAGTGATAGAATAAAAAAAAAAATTCAATGTAGTGCAATATCTCAACTAAAAGCTCATGATGGAAAGCAAAGTAATGTTGTCTTATGAGATTTAATGTGTAAGGCAATGTATTATAATATCTTCCTTTTTAAGTTGAAGTTCAATAAAACTGGAAAAATCATCTTTGTTGATTCATTCACAGCATTTTCAAGCAATAAATTTCTGGACAGAACCATTTCTCAGACTGTTGACAAAAATGTGGGATTAGCATGCATCAAGATTTTTACAGTGGCATTATTATCTAGAGAAAGCATATTTGAAAAAGTATATTTTATGAGTTTTCTTTCAAATTGAATATAGTTCTGGATTTTTATAAAATTATGACAATCTACCTTGTAATTATAAAAAATGTGAGATATGATTGCTTTTTTTCTGTAGTATATTGCAGTAAATGTTCAAAAATGAGCACACTCAAAATTTAGTGCACCTGCCCTGAGCAACTGATTAGCACAAACATGAAAAAGTGCATAAGCTTCAATACATTTTCGTTGTATTGTATTTTAGAGTGTACATGAATTAATAGAAAGGAAGCAACTCAAAATTATGAACTCCCCTGAAGTACATCCATAGAATATGCAAGCAGATTTTTGTAGGGATTTCAAATTTTTATACCCCCCGCAAACGAAGTTTGGGGGGGGGGGGGGGGGGGGGTACATAGGAATCCCCTTGTCCGTCTGTCTGTGCAATCGTGTCTGGTCCATATCTTTCTTACAGAGGGACATTAGAATCTACTACTCCACACAAAGATTGCCCATGACCTAAGGGTGTGTCATGACCTTGACCTAAGGTCATTTGGGGAAGTTAAAGGTCACTGGAAGAAAAAATTCAAAATTCCTCTCCGGTCCATATCTTTCTTATGAATAAACTTGGTAGGTTCTCATTTCACACAATGATTGCCCATGACCCAAGGGTGTGTCATGACCTTGACCCAAGGTCATTTGGGGAAGTTCAAGGTCATTGGAAGAAGAATTTCATAATTCGTGTCCGGTCCATATCTTTCTTATGGATAAACTTGGTAGGTTGTCATTTCATACAAAGATTGCCCATGACCTACGGTAGTGTCATGACCTTGACCCAAGGTCATTTGGGGAAGTTCAAGGTCACTGGAAGAAAAATTTCATAATTCATGTCCGGTCCATATCTTTCTTATGAATAAACTTGGTAGGTTTTCATTTCACACAAAGATTGCCCATGACCCAAGGGTGTGTCATGACTTTGACCCAAGGTCATTTGGGGAAGTTCAAGGTCACTGGAAGAAAAATTTCATAATTCGTGTCCAGTCCATATCTTTCTTATGGATAAACTTGGTAGGTTGTCATTTCACACAAAGATTGCCCATGACCTAAGGTAGTGTCAGGACCTTGACCCAAGGTCATTTGGGGAAGTTCAAGGTCACTGGAAGAAAAATTTCATAATTCATGTCCCGTCCATATCTTTCTTATGGATAAACTTGGTAGGTTGTCATTTCGCACAAAGATTGCCCATGACCCAAGGGTGTGTCATGACCTTGACCCAAGGTCATTTGGGGAAGTTCAAGGTCACTGGAAGAAAAATTCATAATTCGTGTCCAATCCATATCTTTTCTATAGATAAACTTGGTAGGTTGTCATTTCACACAAAGATTGCCCATGACCCAAGGGTGTGTCATGACCTTGACCCAAGGTCATTTGGGGAAGTTCAAGGTCACTGGAAGAAAAATTTCATAATTTGTGTCCGGTCCGTATCTTTCTTATGGAAAAACTTACTTCTGATAAACCCAGCGGGGGGTTTTTCGTCCCGTTTGGACAGTTCTATTTTTAAAAGGGGGTAAAGGCAAAAAAAAAAAAAAAAAAAAAAAATCAGCAGTTTTTTGACCGATCAGCCATTTAAAAGTTTTGAAATTATATCAATTTGAAAATCAAGAATATATTTATAAGGTGTTTCGGTAATAACTTGTTAAATCCATAGTAATGTGTTATTCTTATACTATATGGGTTAAAAAAAATATTATAGAAACATGTGAGTGTAATAGGACAACTATAAGGCTTCAGTTGAAAAAAGCTGCCCAAGTGGCCTCCATTTAAGATCGGGTTTGGAAGACACAAAATTATATTCCAGTTAGAATTTCCTTTAGTGTAGTTTTGATCATCATCTTATGTTGATTGTTGAAAGGCTGCATGTCATGATACTAACATAATGGAATTAAGTAAAGAACAACAAGAAGCGCTTATTAATAGGGCACAAGAATCGTTAAACCTCTTTGGATTTGAAATACACCCATTTAAGGTATTTGTCGGTTTGTAATGGCATGTAGTGTCCTTAAACGTATTTGATATGCAACAAAGGGGGTTCCGCCCCTCTCTAAGTATTTGCGGGAAAAAAACAACAAACAAGAGAAATCAATGATAAAAATATTATTGTATAAGAAGTTCTAAATTTCTTTCCAGTATGCTAAAGAATAGTACTTTATAACACAAGCAACGAAGTTAGCATGGTTAGGGATGTGAAGTTGTATGGAGGGGATTATGAAAATGGGTGTTGCTAAAACGCGGAACGGAAAACGGAACGGAAAGCGGAACGGAACGGAAAACGGAATATATTATTTTGGATTAAATCACTTAAAATACACAAATTTTATCATAAACGATATATCATGTACACATTCAATTCCCCAACTATTAAATACAAGTTTTGATTTTGTCATGCTCAGTCTCTTCTTTACAAAAACTCGCTTACATAGACATACAGTCACATAGAATCGAATTTGAAAAGGGGGTTGGGGGTAAACGAACTTGAAAAGTATTTGACAAGCAAAAAACACAAAAAGGAGACAATTGTTTGATTCGGAAGGGGAGATAAAACACAAAAAGAAAACAATTGTTTGATTCGAGAGGGGGGATAAGTTCCAACTCCCAACATCTTTCAGTACTATTTTTTTTACACTAACTTACTACATTTCTTATATTCACAAAAAGGGTGAGAATGTGAACTTGAACGAACATTTCCGTAGTAAAAAGGTTATGACTGGGCGGGGGGGGGGGGGGGGGGGGGGGGGAGCAAATATTTGATATCTAAATGAACCATGGAAAGAGAAAAAAAATGTTTAAAAAAATATTAAGATTACGTTTAGGGCAAACCTTTACGGCAAGCTCGAATAAACATCTCTTATACACACTGTTTGTTAAAATTTTATTCAAAATAGAGTACTTTTCTGGATAGCCAAAGTTGTGGTAGATATAATGCAGATTGTAGAATCTTTGCATTTATTGAAGTTAAATTTTGTTTGTTTGCGGCACATATGTGTGCATGTTTGTGAGGGGGGGGGGGGTGGCGTATATGAATGACCCCGTAAAAAATTAGTGTGTTTTCCCGCTCATCGGAAAGGTCTTAGAAGTTGTAATAGATCCACCCCCCCCCTTTTTGTGTCCAAAATGTACACAAGGTTTAATAAATCAATTTTTAATGTGGCCGTGGGCCCCTACACAGACCCGAAACTGCCACCCCCTTTCTTGACTCGCGAATTCGACACTGCGTGCATAATCTGAATAGCATAACTAGATATACCTCCGCTCCGAAGGAGAGTAGGGTATACTGTTTTACCCTTGTATGTCTGTCTGTCCGTGTGTCCGTGTAGCTGTGTGTCTGTCCATAACAAATTTTCGTCACAGTTTTCTCAGCAACTACTTATTGTAGATGCTTGAAATTTTAACACAATCTTCACAATCGTCTCTGTCCGTTTCATACATAATAATTTTTCGTTGCAGTTATCTCAGCAACTACTCATCACAGATGCATGAAATTTAAACACAATCTTCTCTGAGGCATGCCATAAGTTGGGATACATTTTTGTTCAAATCCAACTTCCTGTTTGTCTGTGCGTCTGTCCGTTTCATACATAACAAATTTTTGTCGCAGTTTTCTCAGCAACTACTCATCGCAGATGCTTGAAATTTTATTACAATCTTCCCTAAGGCATGCCATACTGTGGGATACATTTTTGTTTAAATCCAATGTCAACTTCCTGTTTGTCTGTGCGTCTGCCCGTTTCATACATAAAACATTTTCGTCGCAGTTTTCTCATTAACTATTCATAGCAGATGCTTAATTTTAGTACACTCTTTGTTGAAGCATGTCATATGGGGGGATTAATTTTGATATGAAACTGATGTCAACTTCAAATTTATCTGTTTATCTGCCTGTAATTGAACTTGTGTATATTAACATGATAGTGTTTATTTACATCAGAGCGGGGGTATTACTAGTGACCATTGGCTCACAGATTTCTTGTTATTTTTGTCTTTTCAGACATTGACATTGGAAACAAATTGAAAGAGGGGGTGGGCCGAGGGAGTCAGAAAAAATTTCCAACATACAACAAATTTGACAAGCAAAAAAAAGGGGGATATGTCCTCTGCCCAAACACGAAAATCCTATAATTTTGTGTGGGGGGGATTTCTTTCAATGGCATTTTTTCCACGGATGTTGTGTATGACTCATGAATATATAATAGTTTACAATAAATTTTTAGTAAAAATGACTTTAACAACAAGAATATTGCTCTTTCATCTGATTTATATTGAATCTATGTTATTTGTTTGACAAAAAAATTTCCGTTTTCCGTTCCGTTCCGCTTTCCGTTCCGTTTTCCGTTCCGCGTTTTAGCAACACCCTATGAAAATGTGCTGAACCTCCACTAGGGCTGTGTATTGAGCAAAAAATTTCGATACAATACGATACAATATTTTTTAAAGCGATATGTGATATATTGGATTCTTAAACAAGTCCATCAAAATAGTCTTATAAAGTCATTTAATGCATGAATTTCATAAAAACTAAATGTTTTATAATCTATTTCCAAGTTCTAGCATCAATGCTACTACAAATAACACTTCAAATTAAAACTTTAAATGACTGAAAAATCAGCATATTGAAATAAAATTATCTATGTATTTTTTAATAATCATATAACTTGTGCTATGTCCTTAATGATTATAATTTTTTGGTCAGTTTCAATTTTAAAAAGTTAAATTTAATGTTTAGTGATTAAAATTCCCATCTTTTTCACAGAATTAGAAGAAAAATGTCTGCCCGATATGTATTGGAAGTTATTTTTCGATACGATATGCTCCTTGAATATTGATACGTATCGATATATTGATACAGCCCTAACCTCCACCCCCTTTATAATTTCCCTGGATTCATCTATAAAGCTAATCTATCCTGCAACTTCCCCTTGCATTGACCTAGAAGTACAATCTAATAGACCAAAGATTTATTCAGTCAATGTCCTAATGAACAATGATGAAGCCTTGTGCATGTATTCCGATGTTCTAAAAGCATTGTGACATCATGTATATTGCAATGTTTATGCCATAGAATTTTAGTTTCAACAGAAGAGATGTGCCTAAATCGGGTCGAAAATAGCTTGTTTTGAAGTTCAAAATGTAAAAAAGTTGCAGGATAAACAGAATACTTGGTACGCAAGCATATTAGGGCTGCAATAGTTAAGGAATGACTCTAATTCTTGGCCAAATTATTGACAGAGTATAATCTGGTTTGGGTGTTTACGCTTTTTTATAATCCGCTTTGCGATAATACTACTCGATAATTTGGCCAAGAATTTGAGACATTCCTTATAATTTAATTTTAAAATAATTAAACAACTTTGGACATGTTGGATATAAAATTATGTTGCTTTTTATGAGTTCAAATTTACTGCGCAATAATACAACCGTAGTAACAGAAGTGATGAGAAAGCGAGGGGAGGCAATAACTGATACATAGATCTAGCAGCCATGATGTTGTGTTTACATGAGGTATGTAAGATCGATTAACTGTTTGAAGTTAAAGGTACATTTATTAAATATGGAATTTTCCATGGATTCCGAGCACAGGAAATTAGGGGATTGCATGGATAAGATGATTAAGCTGGTCATCAAGGGGGTGTGTCTCCATACCAAACCAGATTATACAAAATAATTTGCGTTCCTTTTTGGAAATCAACCAATGAGAGGCGATAATACAAACAGAATTAAATTATTATCTTTTATTAATTTGTTTTAACAAATTATCAATTTGTTATAAAAATTATCAACTTGCTATAACAAAATAATTTGATTTAATAAAACAAATTAATAATTTGTTATAACAAATTAGTAATTTGTTATAACAAATTAATAATTTGTTATAACAAATTACTTATTTGTTAAAACAAATTATTAATTTGTTATAACAAATTACTAATTTATAGTGTTGGCAACGAGTACCCGGTTAACCGGTGTACCAGTGAAAACTGTCGCTAGTGCTCAGTGTCGCTCTGAAAAAAGCGGTAGCCGTGCAATTCGACACTCGTATAATTTGACCCAGAGAAAGTTGTTATCGCCTCATATAGGCGCAATTAGTGTTTAAAATGAAGTAAAATCGAAGTAATAAAGTTCCAAGACTATTTTCAGCAAAATCTTGGAAAATAAGTGTTTGACATTCGACGCTATTGCATCGCGATCGGCATCTGATCTGGGCTTTCATGTGATACCTCATCTCTAAAATTACATAAGAAGAAGTGCAATATATGACTAATTTAATTAGATATTTATTAATTGACTGAAAAAAAAACTATTTGGGAATAGAAAGCGACAGCAGAAGTGTACTATAAACTGTTTAATGTTTTTAAACATCGAGATCGGCATCCAACTTAATCAGCTGTTTGCACTCGAGAGAACAAATTATGATTAGTCAACTCGCAATCAAAACCGATCTATTGTAAGTAAGACAGTATTTTAACAAGATAAAATTAAAATAATTATCGTTTGTTTTGCCGATAAATGTAATGTTAGACACAAGTAAGGTTAAATTATGGTCTCGCCACTTGCAACCAGTATAAAATACTTCAAATAAAGTTGTGACGCGAATTTCCTCTATTTATTGTGGTTTTAATGTGTCTATAATGCTGAAAAGTTTTTTTTTTCTTGTACACAAAGACTAATGTGGATTTTCCCTATGAATGTTTAGGTGTTAATATTCTCTGTCATAAATTAAAAACTGAGCAGTTTTCAATCATTTTTCATCATATAGTTTTTGGTTAGATGAGTTCTGTTCACATTGATTCATTATATGTTCAATGATGATCCATGATAGGTGACATTCAGTAAATTCCGTCGATTTAAGCAAAGGGACTTAATTATGATAAAATAGTAATATCATTTATAGTGATATAGCATCTTTTTTTTGAAAGTGTGTGTGGTGGAGGGGGGCTTTCAATGAACATTTTTAATACAGTAAAACTAAAA